GGGGGGGGGGCACAAAAGCAAGCGAGGCGAGCAAAACAGAAAAGAAAACACACAGAGACAGGTGAATATGCATACGAAGACTGACTGTTGGGGCATGCAACGGGTGTGGGTGAAGAGAATAATGAATGCAGGACTGCCAGAGGTTGTTCAGAGTATGGTTGTGTCGCTTCTGGCAAGGAAAGTTGAATGAAGCACTTCGGTGAAATCCGTATTTGGTGTTTAAGGAGAACTGGAAATGATAAATTACAAAAAGAAGAAATACAATGCAGAAATTATTTGCTCATATGCCACGTCCGTGTCGTTTTTTTTTGGGTTCGCATGCAATGTTGAAGCTTGCTTTCTTTACTTCCCTCATCCCTCTCTCTCTCTCCCATCCCCATCCCCCCCCGCCCCCCAGATGTTCTTTCTGGTATGCTTGTCATGCTCCTTAAAACACTCCTTTGCTGTGATGATAACACATGGATTCGTCCTCGCCCATCCCTTATACTACTACGAGGGTACCCTTCTCCCTATTGCTCACGCCTCTGACGCGCACCTTTTCATCAGTACGATGTCTCTGCGGAAGGTGGCGTTATGGTCCCCAACCAGTTCCTGCAAAGTGGACAGCATTTCTCATTCGTTCTTTCGGTTCAGGTTGTAGGGCTTCTAGTTATTGTTTCAGTCGCCAAATATTTTTAATTATTATTACTGTTATTGCTATTATTTTTATTTATTCTCTCCTCGTGTATATCTCTATCGTCTCTTAGCAGGAACAACACAGGAAGAAGAGAATAGAAGGTGAGCGTTGGGTGTCACCAGTGGCGACAATGCTGGTGTCACGGCGCATTGCTGCCCTGCAACAGCTGGAGCAGAAGCTTCGCCGCATCGTTAAGGAGGAGGCGATTCTGTGTTTTAATACTCACAAATCTAGGGTGGATCTTGGACAACAGGTGAAGTTGAAAAGATGTGCGGATATGAAGGAGAAGTTACTCTTTCGTCAAGTTCCGGTGACTCTGTCTCTCTTAGAGCGCAGTTTCCTTCCCATTTTGCGTGACGCAAAACCCTCTAGCTATACCTCTGCGGATGCCAACGGGGTCGTCTTGCTCGAGGATTTGACGATGGCTCCATCAAAGTCGTCAGACGTCTTCGCCCATACGTTGCCGTGCTGTGGCCAGGGTGAAAAGGAGCCCCAAAAGCAAGACTTGCGAGTGGGGCATGTGACGTCAAAAAAAATGTCGTGTCAACAGCAGCGGCGTCTGTTGAGCTCTCCAGGGCGCATGCTGCGCCTGTTATGTTCGCTGCATTTTTTGGAGCAGGAACGACGAAAGCTGTTTCGCTACCACGGGAGTCGTTTGGATTCCAAACTTCGAGCAACGGAGCAGACAGCGCGTCTTGCTCACAAGAAGCAAAAGGACAAGAACGCGCTGACAGCGGCACGCCAGTCTGTGAGCGAGGCGAAGGCAGACGTTGTGCTTCTCCAAAACTCGTTGCTCTCACGGTCCTACATCTCTGCTAGACTGTGGCGACTCCTCCTGCATGAGGAGATATGGCTAGCGGCGGTGCGGGAGGGCCACACAAAGGGTGCCGCCACGGCCCCCTCAGTGCTTTTGATGCTCCTTTCCTTCACGCGCCTTGGCTTTGGTGTCCTGCAGGACTCCGTTCAGGGTCATGCACTGAACACGCATGCTCCACGCTTCGTAGTGTCACTGCCTTCACACAAGATGCGACGACGAAAGAATGCCGGTGCTGGCGCGAGCGATGCAGGAAGCCGGGTGGCCCCGTCGCCGCACGCTTCGGTGGAAGAAGCGGGTGACAGTGAGGATTTGTTGGGGATGATGATGATGACAATGACGACGAAAGCGGCTGTGGCGTCACCGACTACAGTGGAAGAGAGATCAGAATCAGAATCTATGATAAAAACGGTAGAAACGCCACGGTCCACAGTGAGACCAGCAAATGACCGAAAAGAAGGAATTCAATGGCTTCGGTGGCTGCCACCCTCTTCGTGCAACGCTGCCTCATTGGCGCTAGAGACACTGGCCTTATGCTCCCTTATTTTGCCGACGCTTGACATCACCACCATAGTGGTTCATTGCGGGCAGGCACAAGAGCTCTTCGAACTGTTATCGGTTTTGCAGGTAACTGCCTCATCCTTGTTGGCACTGCACATTGATAAGGCTACGGAAGAGACCGTGGTGTTGCACCACACGCTGCGGCGCCTGGAGGACGCAATGCTGGGTTGTGGAAAAATCGCTAAACAGGCTCTTGTCATGCAAGCTGATGGCAGTTTCCCGCCGCTGCCTCCCGTCAAGGCAGCGCGTTTGTTGCTCGGTTTGGGCTCCATGCATCTCCTTCAGACAGATGAGCGCACTTCGCATCAGCTTCTCTCGAAGCTTGTGGTGTGCATATTTCCTCAGCTCTCTACAGGTACGCAGAGAGCTCTAATGGCGAAGTCTCGGCAAAATTCTCTCTACGCATTCGCTACAAGGAGCCATCGGGCAAAGCTGTGTCGTGAGCATGGGCGCAAAAATATGGAGTCTGCCCTCTTGGAATCTGTTCGGGCGCGTGCACGTCTGCAACAGCGGCAAATGCAAGCAGCACTTCGAACGAAATACCTCGAAGAAATCAACAACCGCAGTGTTGGGCAGCTTGCAGAGAGTCTTCCAGTATACTCACTCATTGCGTTGTTCAATCTGTTGGTGCAAGCAGCACGTGATGCACCGCGGCATGAGAACGATTCGCAAGGCCTCCTCGTAACGGCGGCTCTCTTCGTTGCAGAAGGCGTTTTGGTCGCAGGTGCACGCACGTCATCTGGTGAAAATAACATGCTACAGCCGGGCGAGCTGCCAGTTCTCCTCTCAGCCCTTGGTGTGCTCTGGCCGTTGGTAAATGAGCGGTATCAGCTGCTGCATCACTCAATGGGCGGTCATCACCTCGAGCAGCGGAGGGGCATGGGAGACTCCCTGGCAAAGTCTGAAATGGTGATGGTGTCGTACCTTACAGACATGATCTTTGGTGCTGTCAACGCGGCGGTTGCAGAACGCGTGCAACGTGCCGAAACAACCACTAAACCACTTACTGAGACGGGAGAAACAGGTCAAATTCTCGCTGTGGATGATATCATCGCCATTGTTTCCGGGCTTAACGAATGGTGTGCCCTTTCACCCAACAGCAAGAGTACTGCCTATGTGGAGGCGACTGCCGGTCTTCTTCGGCAGCTCCTTGTGGTGGATATGGAGCTGTGGAAGGAGTTGCGACAGCTGAGCGAATTTCGACAGCAACAGTTCTTGCAGACGCTGGGTGAGGTCATGCGGCGTTCAAACATGATGGACGCAACTGTCACACGGGCGTTATCGGTGGTGTTTTGAAGGTTGGAGAGATGGTTGGCGGTGAGATGGGAGGCATGGGCCGCTTGTATGGGGTCACATATGGTGTTTGCGGATATGGACAGCCCATAAACCCTCACGGCGAGGTGGTGAGTGGGCCATGTGGGTGGTACGGTGCATTCTACATCAACTTGTCAATTTGTCCAGAAATCCGATGTATTTATTTATTTGTGTCTTTCTTTTTCAATTTATTTATCTTTACAATATGACTCTGTGTGCGTTGTGTGTGCGATCAGCTGTAAGCGAAGAATTTAACAGAAAAGTTTGAAGAGATGGCTTCCAAGGTATTTGCGTGGACATGTGAACTGGGATTTCTTGGTGGCCTCTGCGCGGCGGTCAAGTACAAGTACAGCTACGAAAACGTTCCGACAGATGCGGCACACACAAAAAACTCATTTGCGACCTTTTCCAAAGATAGTCGTAGGGAATTCTACGACGTTGCTATAGTGGGCGGCGGCATCGTCGGTGTGGCTACTGCACGGGAAATTCGGAAGCAGTTCCCCAAGAAGCGCGTTATACTGCTTGAGAAGGAGGCAGATGTTGCGCAACATCAATCTGGTCACAACAGTGGTGTTGTCCATGCGGGAATGTATTATCCGCACGATTCACTCATGGCCCGTCTGTGCCCACGTGGTCACGACCTCATGATGGCATACTGTAGACAGAATAAACTTCCATGCGAGCGTGTCGGTAAACTTATTGTCGCGGCAGACGAAAACGAGATTCCTGCAATTGAAAAACTATACGAGCAGGGAGTGAGCAATGGTGTGCGGGAACTGAAGATGCTTCGAAGTGAAGAGGAAATTAAGAAGGTTGAACCCAATGTCCGCGGTGTGTGTGCCTTGTACTCCCCGGATACGGCTGTCGCCGACTTCAGCGCGGTGGCACGCTACATGCTGAAGGAACTGCAGAATGGGGCACGAGGACTATTTGACACACAATTCCGCTACGAGGCACTTGATTTTGTGGGATTGTCAATCAACCACAACCTCCACCGCCCGAAGGATGTGCCCACGGAGATGGTGCTCATCCGTGGCCGCGAGGATGGTCAACTGGGGCCGGAAAAAACAATTGTCGCCAAGAACGTCATCACGTGCTGCGGTCTCTCTAACGACCTCCTCGCGCGCCGCTCCGGTAGTCCATTGCATTGGATCGGCAAGAAAGTATCGCAGACCTTCAGTTTCCGTGGGCGATACTATCAGCTGAAGCCAGAGGCACGCGGTCTTGTCTCTATGAATGTCTATCCCGCGCCGGACAGCAGGAAAGCGCTCAGCGTTGGCGTCCATTTCACACCGACGGTGGATGAGCGCCGAGGTCGGCAGATCATCATTGGACCGGGGTCTGCCGTGACGACGCACCGTTACGGATATTCTCCGTACTGCTTCGATCTCGAATACTGCTGGAACTCATTCTTCAGCAGGGGTGGCTGGGTGAACTTCATATCGAATATAACTACTGTCGCTAAGACATTTAGCGTGGATGTCAGCCGTGCTGCATTCTTGCGTGAAGCGCAGAAGCTGGTGCCGTCTCTAAAGGATTCGGATATAGAGGAGAGTTTCTGCGGTGTGATGGGATTGGCCGTTACGGAGTCCGGCGGATTGGAAATGGACCTTGCGATGGAGCTTTCACGGCCGCGCACGATGATCGCCACGTCCGTGAAACCTGACAAAGTGCTGGAGGCTCAAGAGGGTGGCGACGCGAGCGAGCAGACCCCATCAGCGCCTGCAGCGGGTGGTGGTGGTGGTGGCCCGCTCATTCTCAATGTGCGCAACGCCCCGAGTCCGGCNCCATCAGCGCCTGCAGCGGGTGGTGGTGGTGGTGGCCCGCTCATTCTCAATGTGCGCAACGCCCCGAGTCCGGCGGCTACGTCGTGTATGGCAATTGCGGAGGAAATCGTTGTCACTGCCAAGAAAAACTTCGAGTGGGGAGTGTAATTGTGTGACACTTCAGAATGGGGATAACATTTTTGAAGAAACGACTGCAACAACAAATCTGCAATGAGAAAGGGGTCTGCAAAGCAAGAGCTCTGTTTCCTTTGTTTCTGCTGGATGCGATGGCTCTCGAGGAGGCTCGCTTTTTTTTTTTTCGTGTTCTTTGTTTGCTTTCGTAGACGACAAATTTGAAAGCTATCACGCCTTCTGTGGGCTTTTTTTTTTTTTCATTCTACAACGCGGACTTTAATTGCTGAGCCTCGTGATTTATTTGTATTGTTTTATTATTTAACCGGGGGGAGGAAGAGAGATGGTGAGATGCACTTGCGAAACTGTCGTTTTATCTTTTCTTTTGTTGAGCGGATATATGCCGCCACATGCTGTTGTAAAAAAAAAAAAGAGTCTAATGACACCACTGTCACTCCGCCCCCTTCCCTTCCCCTCATCCTGCATTTGCGTCCTGTGCTTGGTGCGCCTACGTCACACATCTCCATGCTGTTCCTCGTTGTTGCTTGCACAGGCAACGGCCATTTTTTTTTTTTTNGGGGGGGGGGGTTCCTTACACTTCTTTTCTCCTGTCTTCACTTTGCTTTTATTGCCGCTTGCCTTTCCTGTAGAGGAGGGCCTCTATAATGTTCGTGCCCCCGTTCAGCGCCTGCTTTGCCCTCCTTTTCATGGTGCTGCTTTCGCGCCCCGCGGATGTTGCCGCTGCGGCGTCCGGGATCAATGCCTTCAGCGTCGTTGTTGTGAAGGAGCAAATGGAGGAGACACTCCGCACTGCCCCAACTGGTGCCATTCTCCAGCTTTCACCCTACGTCGTGCGGCTCTCTTCCGACTGGACCGTCGTGGAAAGGAGTACGTGGAGCGGCGGGCCTACGAAAGAGGGCGTGAATAAAGGAGGGCTCTTGCATTGCCGCCTGCCGCTGCCACAAACAGCAGAGGATGTGGCGCTCCTCGAACAGCGTTACGTCCGACACAACGCGGCCCGCACGCGCGCGGCCATTTGGCGGTGGATGGAGGATGTGTCGCACCAAGACGGCTGTGTCTTTGGTGAAGGCGAGACAGAGATCACGGAGGTGACGGAGTGGTACCTGTTCTGCCCACGTGGTGCGATACGCAAAGTGAACAGAACAGTCGTGATAGAACAAGCCGGCAACTCGTCGAAAGAGCTCCAAAGAAAAGTTAAACGGTTGATGCAGCGGTCTCGCGCTGGGGCGAGCCGCGGTGTCAGCAGCAGCAGACTTCTTCACGGATGGACTTACATCATTGGTGCTTACCACGAGGGTATCACGCAGCCGCGGTGGGGCGCAGAACGCCAGGCGTGGGAACTCGTGTACCCAACTAATCGTGTGTGTGACGCCTGGCGGTTGGATGCGCCAACGCAAAAGACACCAGAAGCCAAAGTTCCGCTGGCAAAGGATGCAAGGAAAGAGTTTTGGGAGACTGTGGTGCGTCTCTACTGCCAGCCAAGGCGTAAAAATCATCGAGGGTGGGGGTGGAGAGTGACGGAGGTTCGCCAGGCGTGTTTGCACGAAGTTTCGCTCAATTCACCGGCTGTGTGCGACTGGGCGAGGGAGCTGGATACGCTACGAGTGAATCCTATTCCATGCATCTCTCTTTGAGTTGGGAGGTATGCAGCGGAAACACGACATCACAGGTGGTGGTGGTCCTTCTGCATCTTGCGCTGTGTGTCGGCCGTGATGTGTGGCAGCTGATCCCCAAGTTGTGTGTGCNCCCCCCCTCCTCCACTCGTTCTTTCTACCATAGTTGTGATGCAATGTCACTTGCAGGTGAAGTATGAAGCATCGCATCTGTTGTCACTTTTCTTCCTCTTCCCTTGCATAAACTTTTACGGTATATTATTGCTTTCCCTGGTCACGGCCCAGTTCACGGACACACACACACGCAATTAGACATTGTCGCGCATACAGATAGACTCCACGACGGGGAGATACACGATTCGCCGGTGAGTATGCAGCACAACGAGAAGAAGGCGGACCCCCCGCTACAAAAGTTTAGACCTCGTATGACACCGCACCTCTCCAGCATTCTCAAGCCAGATGTCCTCGATGACGAGACACGGCAGCGCATTGTCCGCAACGTGATGGGAACAGAGCCGCACGCTCATGACGGCCGCAATACACCCGCATCACCTCACCAGCTTTCGGGCGCCCGACCTGGACGAGAGGGCAATCACCCTGCCAGCCTCCGTGATCGCGTTTCGAGTGGAAACGCGGACCTTCTCACAGTCATGACACAGCGGCTCAAGATGTTGGAGTCACAGCAGCACGCCTACCGAATGGAACTCAAGGAAAAGACAGAGTTGCTCTCGCGCGCTGATGCAAGGTACGAGGCGGAGAAGGTGAAGCGTGAGGAGGTGGAGTCTGTTGTTGTTGAGTTATACAACAATGTGGAGGAGCTGGAGGAGCAGGTAAATGAAATGCAAAAATTCCTCGCTGACTACGGACTGCAGTGGGTGGGAGACTGTAAAAAGAAGAAGAAAAGTGGTGGCGCGCAACAATCCCAAGATAGTTCACCAAAGGCTAAAGTGGCGTTGTCGTCATGTTCGCCGCCACCGCCGCCCGGAGATACTCAGAAGCCGTTCGAGTTATACTCCGGGGATTATGTTGACCAATCACCGGTGGTGTCGCGGAGCCCCACGCCAAGTGCAGGGCGACCAGCTGACGTGACGAGGCATTCACCGCGTGGTGGCTTACCCGTCCAGAAAAAGGATGCTCACCCTGCGTCTCACGTTTCTATAGAAGTACTTAAAAGACACGCACAAATTCTCTCAGATCATGTTGGCTACAAAGGTGTTGTCACGGACGGTAAGAATGGTGGCATCAAGGAACGCGAGGTGGTGCGTATTGCTGTTTACAGAGATGGCATTTGCGTCAATAGTGGCCCATTTCGACCCTTTGGTTGGCCGCTTTGTGACGCCGTGCTGAGTGACCTCGCGGACGGTTACTACCCATATGAGTTCAAGCAGCGCTATCCTGACGGATTCCCCATCGAAATCATCGATCAGACAAGTGTGTGTTGCATGGCGACGAAGAACCCAGAGCAGGGCAGCAATGTGAAGGGCGTCCAACACACGCTGCAGGACGGTGGCTACCAGCCGTTACAACGCGAGGAGTTCCTTCAACGGTTGCCGGCCACACGCATCACCTCCAATGGCCGCATCGTTCCCGTGCGTGAGGGAATCGCCAACATGATCGGCGGTCGCGGCAGCAGTGACGGCCCCGTCGAGTGCGACACCGTGCGGCACGTCACCGAGGTTGAGCGACAAACGAAAGGGGAGGTGACGGGAAGCGGTACACAGGACAACAACAGCGGTGCCGCGCAGCAGCGTGTCAAGGGATTGGTGGCGGTTCTTCTGCGCTTTCCGTCGGGTGGGAAAGTGGCGATGTACTTGGCTCCGGAAAACACTATCGCTGATCTGCGCCGCGAGATTAAAACAGCTATGCCGTCCTTTACAGCAACCTACGATATACGCTTGTCTTTTCCAGCAGTAAACTTCACTGACAACGCCAAGACTCTGCATGAGCTGGGTCTGGTGAAAAGTTGCACTCTCATGATACAACCGCGGACCCACGTTTCGAACACCTGAAGGTCTTTTTTTTTTTGTTGGTGCCTTCGATGATCAACTGCATTTTATTCCTGGAGCACCGTCTCTCTTCCCCCAGTGCCCCCGAGGAAGTGGTCAAACGGTTTGGAACGGTGGCATGCTCCCGCATGCGTATTCCGCACTGTACTTATGGCGCAAATGTGCTCTTGATGTGTGAAGAGTTATCTTTGTTTGCTTTTTTTGCCTTTTGTTGGGGAGAGTTTTGCTGTCGTCTTGGTTTACGTTTCACACTTCCGTTTGCTGCGCCGGATGGCTCTCCTCTTTTTTGCTTAATCTTTTTATAATGTTATTTTTTGTTTCGTTATTTATGCTGACGAAAGGGGTGTGAAAAATGCTTTCCCGCTCACTCCGGCGTCACGGCACTGCCGAAGTGGTCGCGGCCATCAAAGCAGGGAGGCATACGGAAGCGCTGCTGCAGCTGAATGCAAAGAAACGTGCGCGGCAGCATGAAGAAAACGTGGATTACGGCCGTGCACTATGTTTCCTTGCGGGCGCCGGGGATGCGTTGCACGCACGACAGGCCCTTCTGGAGGAATTGCGCCACTTTCCTGACAATGGCCCCGCTCGCATGCTCCTCTATGAGGTGAACGGCAAGGTTCGTCCACTCCTCCTTCCCCCCGAAGAAGTGATGAAGGACGAGCCGCTTTTCGGCTTACTGTGTGATGCTCTCTTGGATCACACAATGCTTTCATGGACACGACTCTACAGTTTGTACAATCTTGCCAGAGAGATTTGCTCTAGCAAGTGCAGTCAAGGTGGTGTTTTGATGGAGTGTGGTGTTGCTGGAGGAGGTTCAGCTGTGCTTCTTGCTGTTGTAGCAGCGCATTGCAGTGATTTCCCACGAAGAGTGTACGCTCTAGACACATTCGACGGCATGCCAGATCCCACAACGTCGGATGTTTTGGATAACAGTGGCATTCCAGCGGAGTCAACGTCGTGGGGATCTGGGACGTGTAGTGCGTTACAGGATAACGTTCGACGTCTTGCCAAAAACTTTGATGTGGATGAACGGCTGGTGATTGTTCCAGGAATGTTTCAAAGGACGTTGCCGGACGTTCTAAAAGATATCGGTGAGGAGGGCATCGCGATGCTGCACGTGGATGCGGACTGGTACGAATCAACGAAGTCTGTGTTGGACCTCGCGTGGCCGGGTGTGCGCAGGGGCGGTGTGGTGCAGGTGGATGACTACTACTACTGGAGCGGGTGCCGCAAGGCGGTGGATGAGTTCATGCTGGATCAGACAAAGTTGCTAACAGCGGCACTGCAGCAGTCGATGAAGCTGCAAGCGGTTGATGGCAACGCGGTGTATTTCACAAGGCCGTGACGGAAAGCCTTTTTTTTTGGGGGGGGTTGCTGTGATTCCCCATATGTGTGTGTGTGTCCGAGGACGCACCGCCTCTCACGCCCTCTTGTGTGTCTTTTATTTTTTTTTCTCTTGGCGATTATATAGCGCTTCTCTTTGCATTCTGTTTTCAGGTTTCTTGTATGATCTTCTCTATTTTTTTTTCTTCTTTTATTGACTCTATCTATCTCTTTGTGATGTTATGTGTGTGTGTGTGCCTGGTTACCTAACTGCATTGCCAACCATCACCACTGTCAGCTGCGAAGGATGGAAGCAAAGTCACAACCGTCGCGGTGGAGCAAAGAACGCTACACAAACATGCTCATTCCCAGCTACATTCCCCCGGAGTTGCTTCTGTATGATGAGGGCCAGTTCCTCAAGGCCTTTCTCCTCCGTGTGCTCTCCATCGATCTCAGTCGCTTTATTGAGACGAAACGCTGCGAGGAGTACTTTGTGAACATCCCAGTTGAGCCGGAGTACAACAGCGAGGGGCAGCGCACCAACACACCAGATGAGCTTGTCGCGGAAAAACGACGCAAGGTGATGGATGAGCTGACAAACCTCCTCCGTCAGATTGCGGAGATGGGCCCGCAGCCAGGGACGCAAAAGGAGATTGTCCGCAAGCGGTACTTCACGCAGGAGGAGATGGACAACGGCGCCTATGGTGCCATCTTGGGTGCTCGTGGTTTGGTGCATCAGGAGCTCGAGCAGACCACGAAGTGCAAGATTGTGCTTGCGGGGCGTGGCATCACTAACCCGCTGAAAGACACCAGTGCCAACGCGGCACGCGTCGCACTCGAGGAGCCGCACGCCCGCATTACCGCTCCCAATGAGCAGGCCCTGCAACATGCTATGGAGCGCATTGAGTGGATTCTCTCCGACGACCCAGAGGCGCAGGAGTTCCGCGAGAACAACCGCAAGCGGATGGCGCAGATTGAGGGCCGCTACGACCCGCGCACGTGGGTCTCTTCTCTCGAGAAGGACGGCGGTGAGGGGCCGCGCCCCGGAGAGAAGCGTGAGCGCGAGGAGGAGCTCGACGCGGACGTGCAGGAGTTCCTGGATGAACTCTAACGTCGGGACACAAGTGATGGACTCACAAGTAAGCGAGTGACACCAATAAGGATATTGAAGATGTTTGTGGTGAGAAGTGACTACCCCCTTTCACAGCTGAGATGCCTCTCTGTCTCTATTTCCCCCCCCCCCNTTTTTTTTCTTTCTTTTGTGTGCTTCGTTGTGTTGTTGTTGTTGTTTTGGTTTTGTTTGGAAGCACGCGTGCTTCAGTATCCTAGGGTCTGTTTAAGCACACGGAACGAAACGCGAAAAGTAAAGGAAAGGGAGAGATACATACAATGACTCAGCGAAATGGCAAGAAAAGGCCTCGTTTCGACCCAACTGAACTTGGCCTGCCGTCCGAGTTTTTTCTCACAGACTACACGCGCCTAAAGGGCTGTAGTTGTAAGCTGCCGCAGCCCAAGTTGCTTTCGTTGCTCCAAGCGGTGTCCACGACGCCGGGGCAGAAGGACGTTGGTATGGACTGTAGCATTGTCAAGTTGCATCAGAAGAATGAACATGGAAAGGATCTTTTTATGGTGTCAACAACGGATTTCTTTTTCCCAAGCGTAGAGGATCCCTACCTGCAGGGACAGATTGGCGCTGCCAATGTGCTTTCGGACCTCTACAGCTTGGGGGTCGATCGCTGCGACACCGTTTTAATGCAGCTAGCGGCAAGTACTGACATGGACGAAGTGGAACGTGAGGTGAGCACACGGGAAATGATGAAAGGCTTTGTTGACCACGTTCGCTTGGCTGGATCGGATGTGACAGGTGGTCAGACAGTCATGAACCCCTGGCCACTCATTGGTGGCACCGCAACTAGTGTTGTGGAGGAGTCAGAGATGGTGCGGCCAACAGGACTGCGCCCCGGCGACGTGCTCGTGTTGACGAAGCCGCTCGGCAATCAAATAGCAGTGAACCTCAAGCAGTGGCTGCATCGTCCATCGCCTCTCTTCGAAGACACGATTCAGGGGAAGATGTCAGCCGAGGAAATCGAAGAGCTGTACAACAAGGCAGTTGAAAGTATGCGGCGGCTCAATCGCGCTGCGGCTACGTTGATGCGCCAACACGGTGCACGTGGCGCGACGGACATCACTGGGTTCGGCATCCTTGGCCACGCCAAGAACCTCGGGGCGGCGCAGGAGGCGGATGTGTGTCTCGTGCTGGAGACGCTCCCCATCTACGCGGGGGCCGTGAAGGCGTCACGGCTCATGTCGGACAAGTACCGCCTGTTTGAGGGATACTCAGCGGAGACAAGCGGTGGTTTGCTCGTTGCATTTAGCGCTCGCGAGACAGCGGAGCGGTTCATGAAGGAGCTGGGCGAGGCGGATGGAGAGCCGGCGTGGATTGTTGGGAAGGTGGAGGCGAGGAATAGTAGTACCTCACCATACGCGATGCTGCAAGAAGGATATGGCATTTTTGAGGTGTGAGGCATCAATCAGCGACGGTTGGAGGCGGATGATGAAAATGCGGTGGCACTGTTGGTGAACGTTTTGTTTGAGATGACCACAGTTCTAATCTCTCAAGGGAGAGAAGGCGGGAACAAGGTTGAGATAGTAAATATGGGGGATGGGTCTAGTTCTTTTTTTTTCCCTGCCAAATTGTCTGCTTCATTGGGGTCGGATTTTATCTTTCTTTTTGGTGTTTTTTTTTTTGTCGTTGATTCCAAAGACACACGTGCCTTCTCTGCTGGTACATGGGGTGGAGGGTTTGAGAGGATCTTTATTGGCTGTTCTTCGTGTGTGTGTGAGTGAGTGAGCGAGAGTGACTCCATGCGGCGATGCGTGTCACGTGGTGTTGCCCAGCTTCTCTTGAAGCCCGTCTACAACTTGGACTACAGCATCAGTAGTAACAGCGTTCTGCTGAACCCTCGCTGTTCGTTAACCCTGCCGGATCCACAGGCACTGTTGACGTCGCCAACCGGACTCTTTGCCCTCTTGAGTGGTCGCCACGCCACTCTCGCTGCTGGAGGAGATGAGTCCGAGAGAGTACAACGACCGAAACAGCGAAGGAAAATAAGAAGGCACATCAGAAAAAGTGATACTACTGGTAAGGATGGCGATAGAAGCAGTGATATTTCTTCAACATCAGAGTCTGGTGGTGCGGGTGGTGCCTTCTTCAACCGCGAAGCGGTTTCGCTTGCTGTACTGATTCTAATTGTAACGGCACTGTGGGATGGCCTTAGCACCCAGAAGGGGAACATCAGCAGGAAGTTAAAGGAAGCCTTCTTTATCACACTTGAAGTCCGCTCCTCTCGTGAGGAGTACGCAATGATTGTGGACTGGATGGGGCGTCAACCGCAAGGCAAACATTCTCGAAACATTTCGCTGATGCCTCTTTCTGTTCGCGAGGAGACGGTACAAGAAGGAGGCAACCGTGATGACTATGTTGCCACTAGTGACTTTGTCCCAGGTTTTGGAAGCCACTTTATGAAGTTCCACGGCACACGTCTTTGGATTACGCGCTCCATCGACACCTCAAAACAATACCGATCGTCCTCTCGCATGGATCGAGAGGATGAGATACTTGAACTGGTCTTCTTCTCCCGCGATCGCGGCGTTGTGCTGCGCTTCATGGAAGAAGTTCGGGCCTCGTGGGAGGAGCAGGAGCGGGGTGCCGTTCGTCTGTATCTGCCGAGTGGGTGGGGCAGCCGGTGGGAATTCCTAGCGAGGCGGCTGCAGCGACCGCTGTCAACGCTCTATCTCCCGCACACCACCACCGCTATTGTTGAGGAGGCGCGCCTCTTTCTCCGGTCAAAGGCTCTCTACGTGTCACTCGGTGTGCCCTGGCGACGTGGGTATCTCTTTGAGGGGGCGCCGGGGACGGGGAAGACGAGTTTCATCCTAGCCCTAGCCAGCGAGCTGTCGATGCCTATTTATTTATTATCGCTGCAGTCGAAGGAGCTCGATGACGCCTCTCTCATTGGGCTAATCAACTCCGTTCCACCCAAGAGCCTGCTCGTTATTGAAGATCTAGAAACGGCCATCAAGGCGCCACACGTTGCTGCCACTAACAGTACAAACGCTAACTCTCTTCCCATATCTTCCTTGTCGCCGCCTTCGGCTGTGGTAAACACAGAGGTTGGTGGGGGTCGGGAGTCTGGCGTGTCATTAAGCGCCTTGCTAAATGCCATCGACGGTATTGCCAGCAGCGAAGGGAGACTGCTTGTCATTACTGTCAACGACGCGTCGCTTCTACCGTCACCGCAGGCGCTTCTACGACCTGGGCGTGTTGACCGGCGCATTGTCTTTGGTCACTTGGATTCTGGTNCTATGCAGGAGATGGTACAGTCATTCCAGTCCAAGACAACAGATGCCCTGGTGAAAAAGGCGCTCTCACGATGGGGGCAGAGCGATGCAGTAGGAGTCGCCACAACTCCAGCTGAGTTACAGAATGAGCTCCTCTCAGCTATATATGAGAACCAAACTTCTTGATAACGTTCTCGCTTCATAACGATGTTGCTTTTTCTTTTACTCTGCAGGCGTGGATGGATGGGGAATGACGAAAATAGAAGATCGACTGTATCCTTTTGATGGTGGCGATGAGGCAAGGTGAGCGCGGGTATTCTTCAAACTTTGAAAGAAGTACAGATTGGAACCCCCCCCNAAAAAAAAAAAAAAAGAAAAAAAAAGTACAGTTGATGACACATGTCTTTTCTACTTGATTCATTTGGCAACAAAAAAAATCGTTTCTGCACTCTTACTTCTTCCGTTACAGTTAAGCAATCCGGTTTGCCATGCATCAGAGCGAAAGCGACGACGGCATGGCGAATACGGAACAGACCCTCTCCCACGGACCTGCGAACCGCAATGGGAAGCTTCGCATCGTAAACGGTAACAGCAACCCAAAGCTGGCCAAAGGCATCTGCAAAGCCCTCCGTATTCCCCTTACGACATGTAACGTGGGCACCTTCGCCAATGGTGAAATCAATGTCAAGATTCTTGAGTCTATACGTGGTGATGACCTGTTTGTCGTCCAGCCGACATGTGGAAATGGCGTTATCAACGTGAATCAGGCCGTAATGGAACTCCTTCTCATCATCCATACACTGAAACTCAGTTCCGTCAGGCGCGTCTTTGCCGTTATTCCGCACTATGGATATGCTCGCCAGGATCGTAAGCACACTTCCCGTGTGCCTATCAGTGCATCTGCTGTTGCACGCATGATTATGGAATTCGGCGTCAGCGGAGTCCTTACAATGGACCTACACTGCGGCCAAATTCAGGGATTTTTCCATGGTTGCCCCGTGGCCGACCTCAGCGCCACCTCGGAGTTTGCAGAGTACGCAAAGAGTAAATCCTTTGACACCAACAACCTCGTTGTTGTCGCCCCAGATGCCGGCGCTGTGAATCGTGCGCGACGTATGGGAGATTGTCTTGGTGCACGTCGCATTGTTACTATCCTAAAGCGGCGTGTGGAGGCAAACCAGGTGGACAGCATGCAACTCGTCGGTGAGGTTGACGGGTGCACGTGCATCATCGTTGATGACATGATCGACACTGCTGGGACGCTGTGCAAAGCTGCCGAGGTGCTGTCAGAAAACGGTGCGAAGGAGGTGCACGCGTGGGCGACGCATGGCATTCTCACCGATCCCGCGTGCCAGCGCATCACGGACTGTAAGGCGCTTGTGGAGGTGGTGGTGACGGACAGTCTTCCCCAGGAGGAGACGGTGCGCAAGTGTTCCAAAATCAAAATTATATCCATCGCCAAGCTTCTGGCATCAGCAATAAACCGTATCCACTCTGAGGAAAGCATCGAGCACATCGGTGAAAAGCTTGTGGAGCAACACGACCAGGACCTTATTTCATTGGATGCGCTAGTCGAGGAGGGTGACTGGCCCCAAGCTGGGCAGCGATCGATTAAGAGGCGGACCACCGCGCCCCTCGGTAAGCCAGGCGTCTCTGAACGTTCCCCAGCCTCTGAACAGAAACAAACTAATTGAAATTCAGCGTACACTTTCAAAGAGACAAAGGAAAAAGAGAGGTGAAAAAGACACAATGAAAAACGGATAAGAAACTGTGGATGAGAGGAGCAAAAGCGGCTTCCTTTTGAGAGCGGCCCTACGGATAACTGCGTCTTGTCCGCTGTTTTTGTTTTGTTTTTCGGTTCAATGGCGCAGGCGGAGTTGGTTACTCTCCAATTCAACACTATAAGGACGAGGAAAGTGGCGGGGCAGCCATCAAAACTCCAAGGCATGAAGGGAAGGTAGCACATGCATTCATGACCAAGCTGGTTCCTTTTTTCTTGTGTTTCTTTAATTCTGTGGAGGGTTATGGGTGCCACTATTCTTTCTTTTTCATCTTTCTTTTGTTTTTCTTGGGGGGGGGGGCCTTGTTGCCCTTGCTTCATTACATCATATGAGTGGGATGCTTTCATTACACTATTGTATACCAATTGCACTTTCCCCTCCGTCTCTCGTTGCTCTCCTGTTTTGTTTTGTTTTGTGTCTGTTTGTCACCGTTATTGTACTTCTTATTCGTGGGCCACAGAAGTCGGTGCATACGTATTCTCACAGGCGCACATATCCGAGTATAAGAAAAGAAAGGAAAATTAAAGAAGCCAAAAGCGGTAGGAAATGTTCTCTTGCACTCGTGCTTCTCTCCGACCTAATGTAGTGGTGGTTGGCACAGGCTGGGCTGGTGCATACTTCACAAAACACGTGGATCCCAATCTGGCTAACATACAGGTTCTTTCTCTCCGCAACCACCACGTGTTTACGCCTCTGCTGCCGCAAACAACGACAGGTACATTGGAGTTCCGAGCAGTGTGTGAGCCCATTTCACGCATTCAGCCTGCGCTCGCGCATCTCCCTAACCGTTTTTACCGCTGCCTTGTGCACAGTGTCGATTTTGAGGAAAAGGAGGTGAACTGTGTCGGCGTTGGAGTCGTTGATGCGAGCTCCAATGTTCCTGTACAGAACTTCAAGGTGAAGTACGACAAACTAGTCTTGGCTCACGGCGCCCGGCCAAATACTTTCAATGTACCAGGTGTTCTGGACAACGCTTTCTTTCTTCGCGAGGTAAATGAGGCTCGTGGCATTCGAAAGCGCTTGGTGCAAAACATCATGGCGGCTGACTTACCTACAACCAGCCTGGAGGAGGCTAAGCGTCTGTTGCACACCGTTGTTGTTGGCGGAGGGCCCATAGGCATTGAATTTGCCGCCACACTTGCTGACTTTCTTCGCCAAGACGTGAGCAAGGTTAATCACAGTCTTTTGCCATACTGCAAGGTGACTGTGCTCGAGGCAGGTGAAGTGCTTGGAACGTTTGATCTGCGTGTGCGGGAATGGGGGATGCGACGCCTCGATACGCTTGGTGTACGCATCGTGAAGGGCGCCGTGGTCGCTGTCAACGAGAAGGAGGTGATCGCGAAGGACGGCTCGGTTTATCCCACTGGTCTGGTGGTGTGGGGCACCGGTGTCGGTCCTTCCGCCCTCACCAAAGACTTGAATGTGGACCGCACCTCTCGTGGTCGCATTTCCATTGATGACCATCTGCGTGTATTGTGGAAGGGGAAACCCATCCCAGACGCTTATGCGATAGGGGACTGCGCGGCGAATGAGACACTCCCGCTGCCGACACTGGCTGCCGTTGCGTCGCGGCAGGGAATTTACCTCGCAAAGAAGGTAAATAGGGAGTTGACAAACAAGCCATCGGATGAACCGTTCGAGTACAAGAGTCTCGGTTCCATGGTGAACCTTGGTGACACCGCCGCCGTTGTGGAGCTTAATGTTCCGAAGAAAATTGACTTTGTAGGCTTCAAGGCGTTGTGCTTCTGGCGCAGTGCGTACTTCAGCATTCTGGGCTCGTGGCGCAACAAACTCTACGTGCTGGTGAACTGGGTGGGCAGCGCGGTGTTTGGGCGTGACACCACGTACATTGGCGACCTAAGCGAGGACCGCGTTTGGCGCACGTTGGCAGCGGAGGAGGTGTCACGCGAGCGGGCCCGCAAGAAGGCCTTTGCGAAACTCAAGACGCTGGAAGCACAAGCAACAATCACTGCGGAGGCGCTCGAGGAGGGGGCGGAGGCTGGCTACATCAAGCGCAAGACCGGAAAGCCGGAGGAGGGGGCGGCGGATACCGAAAAGAAGGGGGACAACACTACCAAGACGCCCTGAAGTTTCCCCACACCACCACAAACAGCAGAAGCAACGACAGTGACATCATGTTGGATGTGGCTTCATAGGTGTGTGTGT